CTAGTCATTGGTATGCTTGCTCTTATCCTTTTTATTCGGGTGCTACTTGATCATTTGTGTCTCTTACCCTTAACAAGAAGTTTGATGTTGTTCCAGGGGCGTAGAATTTTCCTCTAGAGTTAGAGATCGCTGACATCCGCACTGTGAGTGCTTTGAGTGACCACCAAGACTTTGTATTAGAGATGTTTCGTGTTCTATTCCCTATTGATCTCGTTACTATTTCTCTAAGAAGGGAGAGGATCATTATGGGTATGGATCGGTTGAGTTGGTTTGGGGCTATGATCGACTGCGAGCATCAGCTAGTGATATTTTGAACCTCAAGTGGGGGAGAATTGATCATTCATAGTGAATGAGCAAGAGGCGGTCCAACCATTTGTTCAACTGCGAGAGTAGGAGGTATTTTCAACACAAACGTTTAGGGTTTTTAGCGTATTTTTTTGATACTCGGCACTAGGGGAAGAAGTCTGTTGATGATTTACCTATCGTTTGGGATTTTTCTGCCGTGTTTCCTAAGGATTTGTTGGGAGTGCCTCCTGAGAGGCAGGTGGAGTTTCAGATTGAACTAGTTCCGGGTGCGGCTCTGATAGCCAAGATACTCTATCGTTTTGCACAACCTGAGATGCAAGAGTTATCCACACATCTTCAGGAGCTGATGGGCAAGGGGTTCATCATGACGAGTAGTTCTCCTTGGTGAGATCCCATTTTGTTTGTGAAGAAGAAGGACGAGTACCATTGGATGTGTATCGACTATAGGGAGTTGAATAAGTTGACGATGAAGAACTGTTATTCACTCCCAAGGATCGACAATTATTTGATCAGCTTCAAGGTGCATCTGGGTTTTTCAAGATTGATTTGAGATTAGGTTATCATTAGATGAGGGTTAGAGATTAGTATGTTTAGAAGACGGCCTTCAGGACTCGCTATGGCTATTATGAGTTTGTGGTGATGCCTTTTGGGTTCAACAACACACCGACCATGTTCATGGACCTCATGAACTGGTTTTGCATGTCGATGTTGGATCAACTGGTGATTGGGTTTACCGATGATATCTTGGCCTATTCAAAGACAAATAAGCCACATGAAGAGCATCTGGGATAGGTTCTTGAGACTTTAAAGAGTGAGCGACTTTACGTAAATTTCTCCGAATGTGAGTTTTGGTTGCACGAGGTGTATTTATTGGGTCACATTGTCAACCAGAATGATATATTGGTTGATTCGGCCAAGATCGAGGTTGTGATGTCCATCTGAGATTCGGAGCTTCCTGGATTTAGAAGGGTATTATTGTAGATTCATCTGAGATTTCTCCAAGATCGCAGTTCCTTTGACACGGTTGATGAAGAAGAATGTAACTTTTCTATGGGGGCATGAGAAGCAGATGACATTTGATACTTTCGGACTGAAGCTATGCGATACTCGGATACTGACCCTTCCCAAGGGTGTGAATGATTTTGTAGTTTACTATGATGCATCAATTATGGGTTTAGGTGAAATACTCATGCAGAGGGGCCATGTGATCACATACACTTCGAAGCAGTTGAAGCCCCATAATGCAAATTATCCTACTCATGATCTAGAGTTGGGGGTGGTGTTTTTCTCCCTCAAGATTTGACGGTACTACTTGTATGAGGTCCAATGTACCATCTACACGGATCATAAGAGTTTGAGATATTTGATGGATCAGCCAATCCTGAATATGAGACAATGCAGGTGGTTGGATGTGGTGAAGGATTATGATTGTGATATTCTGTATCGTCTTGGGAAGGCCAACGTAGTGGTCGATGCCTTGAGTCGCAAGGCAACTAGTGTTCCTATCAGAGACCTATTCTTGAGGATGAGTATCACTTCACCACTGCTGGATTTGATCAAAGAGGCGCAAATCGAGGGGTTGAAGGAAGAGAATCGAAAGATAGAGAAGACCAGGGGTCTGATTTCTACATTTATCAGAGATATTCGAGATTTGTTGACTAAGTGTGGTAGAGTGTGGGTTCTTATTTTTGGTGGGGTTCGACAGACATTGTTGGAAGAAGTGCACAAGTCAAAGTTTTCGATCCATCTGGGCGCTACGAAGATGTATAAGGATCTGAGACTTAGCTAGTGGTGGCCTTGTAAGAAGATGGAGTTAGCTTGGTATGTGGAGCGGTGCTTAATTAGACGGAAAGTCATTGCCAAACACCAAAGACCCCATGACAAGATGCAACCGTTAGTCATCCCTATGTGGAAATGGGAGGAGATCACTATGGATTTCATCACTAAGTTGCCAAGGACGACATGTGGGGTTGATTCGATCTGGGTTATTGTCGACAGGTTGAACATGAGCGCCCACTTCATCCCGATTCAGGAGAGTTCATCTGCCGAGAAGTTAGCCGAGATCTACATTAAGGAGGTGGTTGCATAACATGGAGTTGCATTTTCTGTTGATTCCGACCGTGATGTCCGTTTTACTTCTAGGTTCTGGAGGAAGTTCCGCGAGGAGTTGTGTACTTGATTGCTTTTCAGTACTGCTTACCACCCATAAACTGATGGTAAGAGTGAGTAGACCATTCAGACCCTTGAGGATATGCTTCGTGCATATGTGTTGGATTTTGGTGGGAACTGGGATACCTTCCTTCTGTTAGCTGAGTTCTCCTACAACAAAAGCTATCACGCCAACATTGGTATGCCTCCCTTTGAGTTGCCTTATAGGAGAAAGTGTAGGACCCTGATTTGCTAGGGTGACGTTAGTTAGCGAGTGATGGGGAGCATTGACGTAGTGCTCAAGACTACGAAGTTGATATAGCAAGTGCATGGTAAATTGCATACCATACAGAGCAAACATAAGAGTTATGATGACTGTCACAGTTTCGATATTGAGTTCCAGGTTGGGGATTTCGTGCTTCTGAAGGTGTCACCATGGAAAGATGTTATCTGGTTCTGGAATCGGGGCAAGTTGGGCCCCAAATACATCACTCCTTACAAGGTTATTTCCCGGGTGGTAAAGGTTGCTTGTTGATTGGATCTTCCTATGGAGCTTAGTCAGATCTACAACACCTTTCATGTTTCCTAGTTGCGGAAGTGTGTAGGTTATGATTCTGCAGTGGTACCCTTGGATGACATTCACGTTGATGAGAGACTGAATTATATAGATTGACCGATTATTATTGACAGAAAGACGAAGACCTTGCACAACAAGGTGGTGGGTTTGGTCAAAGTGGAATGACAACACTAGAAGGGTTCTGAATGGACTTGGGAACCCGATGAGGAGATGAGAGAGCACTACCCCGAGTTATTTGAAGCAATGGATTTCGAGGATGAATCTGATTCAAATGGGGGAGAGTTGTAACATCCGGTTTTCAGGTATAAGTTTTGAGGCTTAAATCTTGAGGAATTTTGGTGGCCATGGCGTGGCAACAAAATTTTTAGGCCGTGATCATTTTAAGTTTCCACGACCTGCTCATTTATTGGTCATGGCGTGGCGATGACCCATGCACAGACCCTAATTTTTTGGGTTTAAGACCATATTTAAAGGATGTGATGGCTTGGGTTTCATCCACCCTCATCCTTTATTACCCTCTAAATACAGAAATCAAACCATAACCCATAGATTCCTCATTTGAGGTCATTTTGGTGTTCTTGGTGCTCTTAGAAGGGAGAAGAAGAACCTTGTGGTGAAGGGAACCTCTTGCCAAGCTTAGGGATTTCATTTGAGCAACTTTTAGACCTCTGTAAGTCTTCTTTTTCGTATCTTGATGGTTGTTTTCTTATAGGCTTAGGATTTAAGCACTTTTGGTCCTTTTGGTGAAGTTTGAATGGTTGGTTACCATAAAGTTTTCAACTTTATGGGTCTTGGGAGTCCCAAATGCCTTATATGTTTCAGTTCTTAACTCTTGTGAAGTTTTAGTGCCATGCATAAAGTTGGACTCTATTTCTTCCCCTTTTGACCTATTTGAGTAACGGACATGCATGGGTCATGCTTGTCTATAAAGTTTGGATTTTTATGAACCTTTAGGGTCCCAAGAAGCCATCTTGAAAGTTTGAGCAAAGGGCTTAACATATTAATAACTTAATCAGTTAGGTTGTCTTCAGTCAGAAACCACGACGTGGTAACCGTTGACCGTTAACTTTTTTACCTGGTTGGCTTTTGGTCAACTGAGTAGTTTCAGAAGGTGGTCTAAGGTTTGACCTTGAATGTTTCATTAGGTGTTGTGTAGCACCAACTTACCGTCTGTGTGAGTTTTGGTGCTTTCGGACTATGTTAGTGTGGTGAGTCTTCTCACTATATTGTGTACGATGCTAGACTGTCGTTGTGACTCTTACATATATGTTTGACAAGGCCTGTTATGTTTGTGGGCGAAGCTCGTTATGTATGTTTGGCGGGGCCCGTGATACATGTAAGGCAGGCCCGTTATGTTTGTGGGCAGGCCCAGATGATTATGTGGTATTGTGGGAACTGTCTAAGCTTTGTGATTATGATTTTATGTTTAAATGTTTGAGGTACTTCTGGTTCCAAAGAGAAATGTCCGACTAGATCGCACCGCATTCCTTGAAGATTTCCGCACTATCTATTTTTTGACTTACTCTGATTATCTTTTGAAATGATTCAATGAATTGTTTTGGTTGATGGAAAAATGAAATTTTTACCTTTCAATTACATGGACATATTGTTCTTGTTTGAACCTAAGAGTACGAGACAATGTGTATTGAGATAATTGCCAACCATTAGTATTTTTTTTCTTCGACCGATTACCTAAATTATAACCACGTTTGAGAATAGTCTAAAAATGGTCATGGAGTCGCCATGAAAGACCAAGGAAGCAAATCTCCTCACGATCTTCATTCACTTTTCGTAGTTTTCAAAACACACGGAAGATTCATATTTCATATGCTAATCATCCTGTCCAACACAAAAAATGATCAATTTCTCTTTATAAATACGCAAACCATATACCATTTCCTATATCTATCAAGAAATTAAACTCGTAAAAGAACTTATCACCCTCAAGATTCTCCAAAATTCGCCAACAATGGCTACCAAAACCCTCCACTTTCTTTTGGTTCCCCACATAGGTCCTGGCCATACTATTCCCATGATCGACATGGCCAAACTCCTTGCAAAACAACCGAACGTAATGGTGACAATCGCTACCACACCCCTCAACGCCATCCGATACGGTGTCACCAAAGCCGAAATCCCCTTCCGATACCTTGAACTCCCATTTCCGACAGCTGAGGCTGGACTACCTGAAGGATGCGAAATGACAGATAAGATCCCTAGTGTGGATTTAATCCCAAACTTTTTAGCCGCCATTGACATGCTTCAGCAAAAGCTCGAAGAACGTTTCGGGATGCTAAAACCTCGCCCAAACTGTATCATATCCGATAAGTACATGTCTTGGACAGGTGATTTCGCTGATAAGCATCAAATTCCCAGAATCATGTTTGACGGAATGAGTTGCTTTAACGAACTCTGTTACAACAATCTGTATGTATCCAAGGTGTTCGACGGTTTGCCTGACTCACAACCCTTCGTAGTCCCTGGTTTACCTGACAAGATCGAGCTTACAAGAAACCAACTCCCACCGGAGTTCAATCCCAGCTCCATTGACACAAGTGCCTTCCGTCAACGTGCTAGAGATGCAGAGGTGAAAGCTTACGGAGTTGTAATCAATAGTTTTGAAGAGTTAGAACAAGAATACGTTCACGAGTACAAGAAATTAAGAAAAGGTAAAGTCTGGTGTATTGGGCCATTGTCGCTCTCCCTTAACAATGATTCTGAGAAATCTCAAAGAGGAAACGTAAGCTCAATCAACGAAGACCAATGTCTAAAATGGTTAGATTCTCAAAAACCCGAATCTGTTATTTATTCTTGTTTTGGTAGTCTTGTTCGTGTTAACACCCCACAACTAATCGAGCTTGGGTTAGCCCTAGAAGCATCAAATCACCCATTCATTTGGGTGATTAGATCTGATACTAGAGAGAAAGAAGTCGAGGAATGGCTTTCAGAAAGTGGATTTGAAGAAAGGGTTAAAGATCGAGGGTTAATCATCAGAGGCTGGGCCCCACAAGTGCTAATTTTGTCTCACCCTTCAGTTGGAGGATTCCTGACTCATTGTGGATGGAATTCAACTCTGGAATCAGTGTGTGCTGGTATTCCGATGATCACATGGCCTCAATTTGCAGAGCAATTTATTAATGAGAAACTGGTGGTGCAGGTTTTGGGGACGGGAGTGAGTGTTGGTGTGGATTCTGTTGTTCATGTTGGGGAAGAAGATAGGTTTGGGGTCAAAGTGAAGAGAGAGGGTGTTCAGAAGGCTATTGAGAAAGTAATGGAATGTGGAATTGAAGGAATTCAAAGAAGGAATAAAGCAAAAGAGATTGGAAAGATGGCGAATGATGCTATAAAGGAGGGAGGGTCATCGGATTTGAACTTGAGACTACTAATACAAGACATATTGCACTATGCAAATGCAAGAAACTAAGAGCATATTTAATTATTTTACACAAAATTTACATTAAATTGGTATAAAAGATAGAGTGGATTATAATTTTAGGCCATGTGGTTTGTAAATGGAGTATTAATTTATAGAATTAAGAATATGTATACTTTATGATAAGCTAATAGTACTTGTTTAGTATAAATAAGGGATAATGACTTAAAAAGGTAACATATTTTTTGATTTGTACATATTTAGTTATTGAATTTTTTGTCCATATTTTCCCATTGAACTTGTTGAACCGTTCAAAAAACATCTTTATGGCCTGGACGTTTAGCCGGTTTCCGACGTATTTGATAGTTCCGGCGAGGCTCCGGTCATCTTCTTCGTCGAGGCTCCGGCGTTCATGATTTTTCCGGCGAAGGTGAACACACATACATAAACATCTGTTTTAGATTCATAGTTTTTATTATCTCTTTCCTCTCTTTTCTCATGAACTCCAATAAACAAGATTTGTTACATAAACATCAAATATGTTCTCTTTTTTCTCATGAGCTGAACACATAAAATCGACTTAAAAAAAAGAGAGAAGAGAGAAGTGTATGTGTGTTGTTCCAAAATCAAGCATGAACACATACATAGATCTGAAAATCGCTCCAAAGCTTGAAGATCATTTGATTTCAGATATGATATTCAAGCATGAACACATATACACAAACACTTCTGGAGCTCGTTTGATTTAAGATCTGAAAATCGTTCCAAAGCTTTTAGGAAGAAGATGAACACCATGAAGGAGATGGGTGGTGCTCCAGGGGTCGAGTGTCGCATCTCGGGGAATAAACCCATAAATTATTTGAGTTCTTCATCTTGACGTCTATTTTCAGATCTGACGAAGAACATAAACACACACACATGACCACACACTAATTTCATAACCCATGTGTCTAGAACAAAATATATTCAAGAACCGGTGAAGAACTCAAATTTGCAGATCTGATGAAGGAGTCGGATTTGCAAATCTAATGAAGATTTTCAAGAACCCATTTCATATAGGTGTTTAATTTGCCGAAGTAGTCGGATTTCTTGTGTGGATGCGCTAAAAAAACTCATTTGTATGTCTGACTTCTTGTACATGTTTGCAAATGGGGTGTGTTTGTGCATATGCATTTGTCTGAAGAACAAACCCAGAAAAAGATGAACACGAACACACACACACACACACTCAGAAATCGTTTTTGTGTGTTTGTTTTATGGATGAACACGGTTTTTGGGTTCATCACAATTTCTGAGTTCATCATGATTTCTGATGAAGATAACATGAATCAAGTTTTGATTTTCATCGCAATTCTTTGTCTCAGATCTGATGCTTTAATAGATTTCAAAAATCTAGATCTGATGTATGCGTGTTCTTAATCTGAAAATCAAAATATGAGTGTGATGTGTGTTACGGATCTGGAAATCGAAACATTGCTTGTGTGCGTTACAACTTGCCAGAAAAAACTTTGTTGGTTGGAGAAGATGTCCGGAGCCATGTCGGAGAAGGTGACCGGAGCGCCGTCGGAACTATCAAATACGTCGGAAATCGGCTAAACCTCCGATAGCAGGTCATAAGGATGTTTTTTGAACAGTTCAACAAGTTTAATAGGAAAATATAGACAAAAAAAAAATACTCAGTGACTAAATGTGTATAAATCAAAAAAATATGTTACCCTTTTAAGTCACTATCCCTATAAATAATTTCATATTTTTCCAATATGGTTGTAAACTTGATTGTTTCCATTATGATGTTTCCTTTTGGCTTGGTTGAAGTTTATTTCAAATTTTGAGCATGCATCATCTTTTTAATATACGTCTTGGTTGATTGGTTCGAATGGCCACTCACACAAACATTGATATCGTTAGAAGCCTAGTGGTTAGAGAGTGAAATTTTATAGTGAGGTTTTGGGTTCAACATACATCTACACTCTCCCATTATTACTGCTGTATGGCATGGGTTGAATGTGATGTCGGATCGTGAGCTACGATTTACTTTTTTTTAACCTCACAAGTACCATTGTTTGAAACTTTGGCTTAATCTTTGTTGTTATATCAATCTCCCTAACCGGTTAGAAGGAATCCATCCCTCCCCTCTTAACCCACATGCCACTTAGGTGACACATTAGTTTTTCCCCCTCACTTCCATCTTTCTCAATCCATAATATGAAAATCCATCACTTTGATCCCTCACAACCCAACCCAGACAATTTTATTTTTATTTTTGAATTGAAAATTTAGTAATTTAATTTTAAATAAATAAAGCTAAAATTAAAAAAAAAATAACATTTCATTAAAAACATACTAATACAAATGTAAATTCAAATCTTAAAATCCTAAAATGATAATTAAAATAAATTAGTTATCTAGAGGGTATATAGGCAAGCTCAATGTGATCAGCAAAATTTGAGCGAACCCGTGGTGAGTTTTCGTGCTGTGCAATTCCAGGATCATATCTTCATTTACTTCTACCTCGGTAATGAGATCGGTATATTAAACCAAACTAATGCAGGTGGTACAAGCGCTAGTAGGGATGTAAGTATAATGAAATCAATGACAAATATTCCGATATTATCCAACAACTCGAAATTGGACTAAATTTGCACACATGTAAAATGATCCGATTAAGAGAACTCATCGTTTTTCCATGACGAGTAGTGTTTTTCGGCAATTCTTGATCATTTAGGGTCTCAAAAACATGTTTTTCACTTTTTATTTTTATGTAATGTTCTGAACTTGAGGTACATTTTAATTTATCAAAGCTTGACTTTTAGAAGTCGCCACGGCATGGTGTAGGATCACCACGATGTGACGAGTCATTTTTGAGTTGCGAGTTGGTTTGAAACGCTAGGGCATGGCAGATATAGGCCACGACGTGGCCGTTGTTGATGGCTAAACCCTACATTTATGGGCTTTGCGCCCTATTAAAAGGAATTAGGAGGCTAGGGATTGCTCACCCTCAGCCTCCATCAGCCTCCTAAAATTATGAAAAAACCCTAATCTCCTTCCTCCATTATTGAAGCCCCTTTTTGTGTTCTTGGAAGTCTTCTGAAGGAAGAAGAAAGAAGAATTGACCAACATTCAACAAACAAGTCTTCATTCTCATGCTAGCACTCTTCTGGACCTTTTTAAGTGTCCAAGACTCGATTTTTATCATGATAGGTTGCTAGATCTTGATTTTTGTCCCTACTCTTCATATTTTAGTTAGTTGGAGTGGTGATGTATCATAACGTTTGCAACTTTATGAATCTCTGGATAATTTAGTATGATTATGGTTTTGGATCTGAAGTATAGATGAGTTTTTGAGCCATGCATGTGATTTTTATGGAAAACCCGTATTTTGAGTCTTTATGACTTCAAGACATGCATTTAGTATAGATGAGTTTTAGAGCCACGCATGTGATTTTTATCAAAAACCCTAATTTTGACTCTTTACGACTTCAAGGCCTTCATTAGACATGCATGTCCATAAAACACCGACTTTTATGATGGTTTTGGTATTAGAAACCCTTCTAGAGTAAATGAGATAAGGACTTTCTGGAATACATGCTTAATGGGTGAATCCATGTCTTATTTAGCCTCTTTGGAACTTAGGGTTTGAGATTTTGACCTTTTGGGTGGTCTTAATGGATAAAGTTGGAAACTTTATCCTTCTAGACCATGTTTCAGACTAGATCTGAGCTTTGGAGCTCTAAGAATCGAAGAAAACGGGTTAACCCATTAAGTTGTTCGAAACCCAGTGCCCACAGTGTGACGACTGGGAAAATCGTGAATATCTCTAAGTATGAGGGCCACAACATGGTAATGGATGGCTACAACGTGGCGGTTGACTAAAGTCAACATTGACTATTGACTTTGACTGTTGACTTTTGGTCAAAAACCTAGTTTTGGAAGAAGAGATAAGGTATTATTTGGTATGACTATATAGGTAGAGCGTAGCATCAGTATTTTGGCAGTGAGAGTAGTTGCAGTTGAGCATTGAGTGAGAGGTGAGTCTTCTTACCGTACTTGTGTGTCGAAGGCACCAAGCCGGCCCAACTGGATTGTGTTATGTAGGATGCTAGCTGTCTTTGAGACTCTTGCATGTATGATTGGGTTGAAAGAAACCCTAGGGTTGTGCCCATGTTTATATGAGTGGGTTGAAAGATACCCCAGGGCTGGACCCATGTATGTATGATTGGGTTGAGACATACCCCAGAGCTGGGACCATGATAGTATGATGGGTTGGAATATACCCTAGGGCTGGGTCCAGTTATATGTATGGTATGTGGTACTTTGGGGAACTCACTAAGCTTTGTGCTTATAGTTTATGTTTATGGTTTCAAGTACTTACGGTACGAAAGGGAAGGGCCCAGTGTAATGGCACAACACCCCCCTCATGATTCCACACTTTTGATTATTTTTACTCTTATGATTTTGATACTTTGTATTAAGTGGACTTTGAGACATATGATGTATGTAATTGATGATTTTAAAAACGTAAATTTTTATCACTGTTTATTGGGATGTTAAAAGTTGGCATCAGAGCCTTGGTTTGAGGGATTTGGGCACACATTCGGGTGTGTCAGAACTCAAACCGAGGAATTGATAACTTTTGAAAATAAAAATGAATTTTTCTATAAGGATTTTTACAAAGAAAAAGGGATGTGATGCATGCAATCATCCGAGCTTAAGTAAGTGGTTCCCAAAATACCCATACCCATGTGTTATGATTAGTATGTCTGATATGTGAATTGCATGCCAGAGTAGGGCTAAGGATACCTTCAGGAATCGTATTATATAGTTTCCTGATTTGTGTGATGCCTTATAACCTAGGAGGATTGGATTCTATGTGTTACTTGAAATTGATATCGGCTCAGTTAATTGCTAAATGTATGCTTTAAAAGTTGTATACGATTAGGTTTATATAGCCCTAGAATGATCGATTTGCCTCATTTCATGTTCCTTGTTTGGTTGTGGGCTTAGGGTAGAATAATTATTCAACAGTATATGTGATCTCATTTTGTGTACAA